AATATCTAGCCCTTACCCAAACTCTGGTTTTCCAATTCAAAACCCTTAGTTTCCTAATGCACTTAATCATTAGGTGGCGACTCTTCAATTCCAAAACCCAATTCCCAAACGGGAATAGAGTTGTCTTCCCAAATGTCCTAAACCCGATTTCGCTTTAGAAAAAGGGGGCGTCGACAGCATGGCGACTCTGCTGGGGATTCTTTAGGCTTTTACCACTTCATGTTATATGTGACTTTATTGTTTTCTTTATTGCTTTGTTTAATACCTTTATTCGAAACTAACTTGTCTTTTTGTTTCTTTTTCTTTAACACTTTCATTTACTGCTTTCCTTCAATACCGTTGTAATTTCTGAGCAATTATTGTAATCATTATGAACGTGAAAATACGTGACAATTTGTTTCATTCTTGTAATTGCATCTTCAACATCATATTCCACTCGTGCCAAACAAATACTATAGCAACGCTTGATGAGTTTGTTGCGCTCTTCCGATATTATTACCCCCTAAATTTGGCAAAGGCATATTTACGGTAAAACTAGTCGATCAGCGGTGCAGTCGACGGTTCCGTGCCTTTCCCTCTTGAGTTGTCTGCTCAAGGGTACCGGTCTAGCACCTCATAGAAACCTTATTCTATTTAATTGTTCATGCATCACTGTCAAACCTAGTCGAGTCAGTTATGCTGTCCACATAATGACTCCTTAAGATAGCCTTGTCCAAAGTCCACTGGGTTCCCCTGGAACCCAAACAGACAACACCATTGTTTTGTGCATTTATTTGGAGAACTAAATGCCATTATGCTAATTATTGATTTAAGTAGTCGAGTCCGATGGAGTAAGGGACTAACACTTTGTTTTGCAGAAATGAGGCACGAAATCCCCAGATTCGGCATGGTAACCAATATTCACCCGACGTTGCTAAGTTGGTGGGAGGACCTTCATTCCAGTGACCGGACTCTCGTCCGCAAGTATTTGGGAAACTTACCCTCTCTTTTGGAAATTCAGCCGAACAACAAAATCATAGAGGCTGCAACCTTATTCTGGGATAGTGATAGATCAGTATTTCGATTTGGGGACCTTGAAATGACCCCTCTGCTCGAGGAAATAGGAGATTTAGCCGGTATTCCTTGGGAGACTCGGTGTTTGCTCATGCCAAAAAACCGCAAGGGTAAGGGTTTCTTCAAAATGATGGGGTTGAAGAAAAATTCAGACATGACTTGTTTGAAGGATTCCTATATTCCTTTCAATTACCTGTACGGCCATAGCAAATCCTACCGCACCTATCCAGATGAATTCGCCCTCACATCATTAGGGCATATCCACAGGAGGGTTTTTGTCTTTATGTTCTGCTTCTTGGGAATGATAGTGTTTCCTATGAAGAAGGCTAGGATCCACACCAGACTAGCCATGGTCACCAAGACATTGATGGAAGGAATTGGAGGGCAGCCTTTCAGCATAGCGCCCATGATTGTTGCCGAGATCTACCGAGCTTTGGAGAACTGTCAGCGAGGAGCTAGTCACTTTGAGGGTTGCAACTTACTACTCCAACTATGGCTTATAGAACATCTCCAAAGGGGTCAATACCGTCAAGAGCTTTCGCGAAAGCCGTGGAATGATCATATAGCCTTTCACCATCCCAAGAGAATGAACTATATGCCTGACATGTTTGCTCAGTCGGGGGATGCTCGAGGATGGGTAAAGTTGTTTGAAAACTTGAAAGAAGACAAGGTGCAATGGATGTTCGAATAGTTCCCCACTGGAGAGTTCATCATCCGCTCTCGCGACGCTCTATTCCTTATACTCATTGGTCTGAGGGGAACTTATCCCTATGTCCCTCTCCGAGTCATGAGGCAGGCAGGGAGGAAGCAAGTCGTACCAAAGGTCGAGAAGATGAGTCATTTCAGGGCTGATTTCCAAAACGACGATAGCCCATACAAATGTCAAGCTCAACACATGTGGAACAGCAAGATCATCCTA